ACCTAGCAACAGACACCACCGCTATCTTCCCAAATCTGTCCCCCCAGGATCACCTTGTGATGAAGGAAAAGCATCTCTGAGTTTTCTACCAATGCCGATCCTGCTGAGGCAGTGCTGAAGAGGCAGCAGTGCCCACCAAAAGCAGGGAGGGCAATGCGAAACTGTTCTTCCCACTTCCTTAATAAACTTACAGCAAAATCATAGGTGTCTAACCCATCCTGTAAGCCTGAATTGACCACAGATTTGCTTGCTGCCCATATCTGATGATGGTAGGAATCGCATGTATAAGATACCAGAAACAAAGTTTTGGTCACATTATCATTATCAATAATTAACAACACTGTTACTAAAATACTGGAAAACACTAGCCACACAAAGGTCTGTTCTTTAGCTCTGTATCCACCTCCTTGCAGAGGCTGATCAGTGTACTTACAGCTCCCAAATTTCAGTGGGCAAGCATGCACATCCATTGGGAAGTCCTCCAGGTGCATGGGGCACTCTGCATGAATCGTTAGCCTACAAGACAAAACACAGGGCATGATCAGAAACACACGGCTGTGGAGGCTCCCACCTGGCCCTTCTGCCACAGTGTCTCTGCCCTGCATCCATCAAAGGCGACAAAGGCCTCAACGTGGTTGCTAACCTCTGGGTCTCCGGGCAGAAGGCCATCAGCTGTGGAGAGAACAGCAGGCACACAGATCTGGCCACCTTTTGCATTGTATAAACTCAACCCTATTGACTGAGTTCATCTTTATCCACTCAGTGTAATCAGAAAATCTGCCAAAGCCCAGGATTTCTGTTTGCTTATGCATTGTGCACAAAGAGCTTATCAATGCCTGGGGCCAGGGGACATCTCATGGACCAATGCTGGAAAGCAGAGGGAAGGGGCTTCAAGGGAACATGGCCTGTTCTTCCTGGTGGCCTGGAAGGAGCCGAGGGCTGGCAGATTGTTCAGTCAGAAAGCCACAGCACTACTGGGCTTGCTGAACAGAGTCAGTCAGAGCCATGAAGTTGCAGGCATTGCACCAGGGTACAACACACCCCTGTGCATGTGGGGCACCTCATCCCACCTACCCCAGCTCTTCCCTTGCTGGTGGCACTGCAGAGGATGCTGCGGGCAGATGCAGAACGGCATGTTCTGGGGCTGTTTGGGGGGTACAGGACAAATCGTGCACTTTACGCATCCACCAAATCCCAGTAGGATACCTTGTCAGGAAGTGGTTTTGTGAAGGATGCACAACCATAAAAGCAGTATACTGCAGAACATGGGGCCAGGCATAAAAGGTTCCACTATAAAAGGCTCTAAAAAAGGTAGCTCTAAGCTTGTGTTCCTTCCTGAAGTAATGCAAAGCCTGCAGAGTGCAGGGGGCGGGGGCGGGGGGGGGCAGCCAGGAAAGACAGCTTCCCAGGAGATGTATAATATAATCTTGTCTGAAGGAACCATTTATAGAAAAAAGGACCCAATTCTGATGGCTTGGCAAAGTAACAAATAAACTGTGACAGGAGCAACAGGTGGATGCAAAGGGCAAGTGCACAGAACTAAGGCTGAAGGTGGCTTGTGGAAAACTCAGGTTGAGAAGTACAGTGGAAAGCTTCTACTGAGATATTATCTTTCAGCTGGAAAAACATTCAGGTAAGTTATTCTTCACCGAAAATATGGAGGCTTAAAAATACAGGGTTTGGATTTTGTTTGCTAAAAGCAAAGAATCAAAAAAAAAGGGAAAGAAAAGAAAAATAAAAATTATTTCTTTCAGGTGGACAAACCTTAAATGATTCTCCAAAAAAAAAAAAAAAAAAAAAAAAAGAGGGCTGTTTTTTAAACTTGGCATAAAAAATTTGGTGGACTTCACAAATCATTCTAAAATACCCTGTGGGGAAACAAAGCAGAATCACCCTGGCTTGGAGGTGGCAGGGGATCTCCAAAGCTGCAGCGATGGTGGCTGCAGGCGGCAGATGGTGCTGATGGGCGGACACCAGTGCAAGCAAGGGACAGAGCAGCAGCAAATTCCTGCACAGCTGCTCAGTGTTGGCTGTGAGAGGAGCCCAGGCTGTGCTGGAAACTCTTCACTGGCTGTGAATTTTGCTCTGCCAGGTGAGGAAACAAACCTTCTGATTTCAGACCCACCTCCAGTCTCATCTGCTTTTTTCAGAGAGTCTAGGAAAGCTAGCATCCCCGCAAAAGACAGGCAGAAGTATTAAATCAAGAAGTGGAGGAGCAGAGCCGTAAGCTGCTGTAACTTCAGTGGGGTGGGGCTGGGTGGCCAAAACCTTCCTGCGTGACCTGGAGACCCTGCAGCACCCACAGCAGGGGTTTAAATCCCAGGAAACCCAGCCTTTGGGAATGTCTGGGAGGTGAGGCACATGACCCCTTTGCAGTGGTCTCTGGAGTCACAGTGTCACAGAGCAGACAGCACCGTCGGAAATCTACACGTTATTCTTGGATGAGCTGGCAAAGGAAAGCGGTGAGTTTCCTGCAGACCTTCTGAACCCAGACCCACAGTGTTTCAGTGGTACCTTCCTCCTCCTTAATGCAACAGCTGCACATATCCATTTCTGCTGTTTTTCAGTGCCAGGTACCACTGTCCTGTCTCCACTGGGCACATCCACACCACTGTGCCCCAAGAGCTACCCCACAGGGGGGAAAAAAACCTATAAAAGCAACTCCCGCTATCAGGATGGGTTCGGTCCTGATAAACAGCTCTTAGCTATTCAGCATCACCACGACATGGTCCCCATATGCCCCATGGGGACTACTCACACTGAAGCCCTGAGGGGCTGGCTGTTGAGTCACAATTCAGTGTTGTGTCCCAAGGGCTCACAACCCAACCATGGCTGATATAATGCTCCATACTCTGGCCAGGTTAATCACAGCGGGTTTATTTGGTCTATGCAGGCTGACTCCACCTCCAGTAGAGGAGGCCAGTGGATACTTAGAGATAAGTATGAAACCTGGGTGAGTTCAGAGCAAACCACACCTTTCTGTCACCTCCCACCAGCCAGTGGCTTATGGCTTCCATGACGCAGAGGCTGTATCCAGGTGATTGAGTGCACTGACCAAGGACCTTTTCTACTCTGAGTCTGCCAATCCTTTCTGAATCCACGTACATGGATAGTGACCACTATGTCCTGTAGTAATCACTGGCAAAGAGGTGATGATGACTGTCCTGCTTGCATTATGTCTGGCCCCAGTTTGGCTTCCTCAGCCAATCCAAGAACCACTGTGCGGCCAATGTAACTTCCTTGGAAACAAATCACTCTTTCTGATCTGCTGATCTCTTCTTCACCTTTGGACTGAATGTACCTGTTTTACATGAGAGAGAAGACAACCTGATCTTTAGGACTTCAACCAAGACTCACTGAAGTCAATGAAAAGACTGAGAGTGATTTTGACAAGCCTACAAGCACATCGTTGGAATAATTTTCTTCTGGACACTCAAAGGCCACCATGAACAAATTGCTCATTTGCTCTGATGCCTCTCTGCCATAATCTGGATGAAGATTAGGATTTCAAGAAGCAGGTATGAAAACCTGGCAGCAAGGTGTGGACTCGACAGCCTTGCTTCTCCTGTTCTGTTTCTTTTGTGATGTCTTCTTCTGTTCAGCTTGAAATTCACTTGGGAAGCTTCATGGCTGGCAAGCTTGTCAAACATGTCCTCAAGGATCTTACCATTCAATTCTTTCTGTGTCCTTTCCAACAGCAATGGACTTTTTGCTTCTAATATCTGTCACTGCCACTTGTGTGAAAGAAATGTTGATGCATTTCCCCTGTCTCCCTCAGCAGGCCACGCAAGACTTTTCGTTTTTACCTTCCTAGTCCTTTGCTGGCTTTGATAATTACTTTATTTCAAAAAGCTCTTAGCTGGGTGTTCCCAAAGTCAGCTTTTCTAAAGAACCTCTCCTCTGATCAGTGCTTTCCTTCTGATTTATCCTGAACTCCCCACAAAAAACAGAAAGGCCTTTTTCATACACTGTACTGTTTGCAAGTCTTGGCTGCGATCAACAGCCACTATGAATAAGACTGAATGACTCCAAGGACCACAGATTGTGGGTCTGGTGGTTAAGTGCCATTTAGAGCAGCCAGAAAGAGCCTCAGAGGGTGCCAGAATGGCAACAGAGACCAACTGGGCACAAGCTGGCCTTGGCCATACCCTCCTGCCCTCTCCGGACCATGGCCAACAAGAGCAAGTGTTGTCAAGGGAAGAAGACAACTTTATATGGATGCTGGATGACTTCATAGTTGTGTGGGAATGCAGCAGTCACATTTTAAATCTAAAGTGTGTTTTATTAGCTGAGCCAGTAAACACCACCACAATAAATCCATCAACAAACCACTGAAAAAGCAACTTAATCTGCCACTTCTTCACCTACAACTGAAGGAGCTTTTAAGTCTCCTGAAATTAAATAAAAGAGAAAATGCCATATCATTCCAGTGAGATGAGTCTGGTTCAGCAACTTCAGCCAGCCAGAAGCCAGCGTGTTCACAGATAACACACGAAGGGAGTCAGCTTCACTGCTGAAGGGGGAAGCAATACAGGCATTCCCCCTCCCAGGTGTTCTCCCTTGCCTGAAACTGCTTTGCTTTGCCTCTGCACATGCCGGGGTGTGTGGGGTCGCCAAGATGCTCTCCCCACGAGCAGAGGGCATGCACTGCTGCTCACTCCTGCTCACCCCTCTGCCCCCCGTGTCCCTTGGCCATCTTTCACCCCCTCCTGCAGCCTCTCTTGCACACACTCATCTTTCAGAGCGCTAATTAGCAGAGGTATTTAGGTGAGCTGTGGAATCAATCACTGCTCAGGAGAGTGCCCATATTTCCCTTCCGCTCCCCCTGGTGCTGGCCTTCCCCGACACCTCCTGTTGCTGGCAAAGGACTCCTCAGCACCATATGCTTTGCCTAATGAAACGTCAAAATGTCAAACTAAGAGGAATGTATCTCACTTCCCAGACAATTACCACTGCCTCTGCAGGATTTGGGTAAAAAAGCCTGTTGCAGAAATTTGCACCTTTGCCCCTTACCCTGTGGCAAGGGAGCTTATGGCCAGCTAGCCACAGAGGTTTGCTTCATTGCTCTGATGCCCTGTTCAGGTCCAGACATGTGAGTCCTGAAATGTCATTATAAAGCCTAAACACCATGTGAAATATAGCCAAGCTGCCAGCAATCACATAACCCAGCTGTTGTATGCTTTGGCTCATCTGTCCCAGGCGCAAGCAATAACTTATGCAGAACTGTCTTGAAGTCAAACCCCGAACTCCTCATGTTTTCTCTTCATTTTTCTGGCACAATGGCACCAAAAGTGGAACATCCAGGAAAGAAACCATGTTTTTCTCTTTAAAGTCATGGCAAGTCCTTTGAACTGCTCAACACAATGGCAAGAAGCATGAATCAGGCTAAACATACCTCTCCCAGGGCTGACGATACAACAAACCACTTCAGCTTCGTTCTCATGGTTACCAGGAGCTTAGCGAAGCCTTTGATGTGTCATTAGAGCCCCTGTTGTTACCTGCATCGTGCTGCAGGATGAGTGAGAGTCTCAGTCCAATTTCTGGGGCACAAATGTAATAATCCCTTGGTGTATGTGTGGTACAAAAACATGACAGCACCCTGCCCAGCAAAACTGACTTTGTTTATGCCACGGATATTGCTTGAGTTTTGTCCTGATTTCTCCTCTAGGAGATTCATTAATAACCACAGTCAGGCCAAACTGTTTATGGTTTAGGCTGTGTGAGAATCTAGGTTAGGTTTAATTGCTGGGGTTTGAGATTGAAAGCCAAATTGCTTCTAGGTTCCTTGTGCTGGATCTGAAAGCACTAAATTCACTTTTCCCAGGCCCCTCGAGATTTCAGCCCATGATGGCAGAAATGCAGAGAGATAAGGTGATCTCTGAAGATTTCTCCCTCCTAGGACAGCTTCCTTAAAAAGTCTGCCTGCACAAAACCAAGCCTGGAAAACAGATCATTTCTGCCTTTGGATCCACTCTGGAATCTGTAAGGCAGGGAAAAGCAGACTGTGCAAATCTCATCTCGTCTGTTCATCTGCTTGCATGTTCAGCAGTCTAGCTTTGGTGTGCTTGGGTCCGTTTATGCTGTTGTCTAGGATCAGGCCTGATGTGGGATGCAGCCAAATAGCTGCCAGTCTGTACTACACAGAGAGCTGGTGCTGGGATGTCCCAGCTGCTGCTCTTGCAGAAAGGAGAATGATGGTTACACCTCCATTGTGTGGAAGGGTTCTGCAAGCTCCAGCCTACAGCTCTCACAAGTTGCCTAGGGGTTAAAAAAAGCAGTCAGTAAAGACAACCCAAAGACTTTGCTGTGAGAGACACTGAGAAGCTCTGTGATTTCAAAAAGTAGCCTGGGAAGCTCAAACGCCTAAGCATGCTGCAGTAGGTACACGACTTGTTATCTAGGGTTCAACAGCTCTGGTAGGACTGCACGTGCTCTGTGTGCCTTCGTACTCAGCTTTCCCTCCTGTTCTGTCTCTGCCTCACCCAGGGGTTCACCAATCCTCCTTCCCAAGTGCTTGTGCACTGCCACTGAGGACTTCATGTTGTCTTTAGCAATACAGGTTCTTGAGGCAAAGTCTTTGGGCATGCAGCTGAATGCATCAGCCTGGCAGTTAAAGAAAACATCCATTAAGTGCATAACTTGAGCACATATTGTCTGGGAACCACTCTGACAATAACCACAAAGCCTCAACATGACACTCTGACAGCCCCTGTGAAGAGCAGGAGAGCTTTTTAAAGCCTGGATTCACAAAGTTGAATCCCAACAGCACAGCATTAAGCTTTCACTATTTTCATATGCTTCAAGGCCAGGAAGAACCAGAACATTACCTATGTGCCCCACAAAATTCGAGCCAGAGAGTACATCCAGAGATTGCTGCAGCAGCTGAGTTTTTGTCTATACCTTATGTAAATCCACACACAATTCCCAGTTTGTTGTACTCAGGTCTGACACCAGAGCTTTGTGGCCCCAGCTGGGCTTTTGTGAACTACTTGGATCTTGTAGGAGCTCCACAAACAGGACTGCAGAGGCAGGGCTACATAATAAAACTGTGTTCCTCATGCCCTCTAAGGCAGCTGGAGTAGCAGAGAAGAGGCAGAGGGGTCAGTAATCCTGTCCCTTCCTCACCAGCCAGAAGGAGAGGAATAGAGAAATGCAATTTTGTGCTGCTGGTCACAAAGGCCATCTTGTCACCCAGGTGCCAAGGCCTCAGTCAGTGATCAGATGTTTGCACCATGACGTTGCACTGATCTGTGAGGAGGTTGTACCGTGACTAAAGGAAATCTCTGGATGCTCAGCTACAGCTGGTGCACGACTCCTTGAAGCTCAGGTCAGTGATAAAGAGGCTCTCTCCAGGAGCTATAAATATTGTCACACAGGTGTAATTTTGCTGGATGCATGTGTCAGAGTCGCTGTTCCACCAGAGCAACTTCATCTATAAATGTAAGCCTTGACTAAGAGAAGTTGGCTTTCACAGCAGGATAAATAGCAAGAGACATGCCTCTAATTGCACATCAGCAGAGCTGATCCCTCGAGGATATTGGCTGATACAAGGTAAAGGAGTAGGATATGTCTCAGGAGTCAAACTGCACGGCAATGTACCACTCTAGACTGAGCCTGCAAGGGATCACCTGGGCAGTCCTGCCTGCGGAAATGTGGTGGAGGTCCAAACTTGCTCCCTAGTCAGCAGGACAAAGAGTGCCTCTTTGGGATTTGCACTTTGCTGGATGCCAGCTTTGTAGGGCTGAGACTGGCTTTGTGGCCCCGCTCCTTACTTTGAGAAGGACACATGGGCATGCCCCTGGGCACGGGGGAGAACAGTGAATGTGCCAATTGGACATAAAACATGAGTCTTTGTCCAGCCCTTTCCTGGGAGGAGGTTTCAAAGCATTTAACAAGGGAGGGTGATACTATCATCAATTTTACAAGGGAATTGAGGTGTGAGTGCCTACGAGTGGCAGAGCCAGCTAGGACTTGGTCTCTGAGCCTCAGCCTGATGCACAGTCCTGGACCATGCAGTCTGTACCCTTGCATCTTCCTTTCTGAGCCACCACTCAAAAGACCCTGTGCGTCCATGAGCAGGCATTTCCTTCAGCAGCAGGGAGAAGGACAACCATCAGATGCACCAGGACAGACATCCCATCCTAGATGTGTTGAACTGCAAACCCAGAGGAGCCCTGCTTTGCCCCTGACATACTGTCCTGTGCAGTGGGCAGTGCCTTCCAGATGGCAGTCTGGCCAGCTCTAACCACATCTCCAGCTTCAGGCTGGTCCAATACTGCCCAGAGCCCCACCAGGACAGCTTCACACCCATTTGCACAGCAGCAGTCTGTGCTGGGTAAGAGAAAGATCTCCATGCACTACAGCTCCTGGTACTGTGCAATAAAACACATGACAAAAGGCCTGATATTCAACACTCAACCTTTGGGTATCTCTGAGTGGGCTCTTCACCTCTTACAAAGCCTTAAAGGTACATTTAAGGGGGGAAGGAGCAGAGAGAGGTTCAGAATCTCCTTCATTCCCCCGCTTCTTTGGGAGACAGCTAAACTGAAGGATGTTTTGAATTTATTTTAAAAATCCCATGACTCTATTTTCTTCAAGAAGCTCATTCCCAAGAGCATTGTGATGCTGCCATCCTGGCACCTGCTCAGCCCTAAACAGAAAAGTAAATCTAATACTTTCTCAGTCACACAGAACTTCTGAAGCTAATGGCTGTTTGCTGAATAAAGAAGAAAGCAAATGATATAAAAGCCCTGAAATTGAGTCCTTTTTTGCTGTCTTATGCCAGTAGCTCCTATAATACTTTACAGTCAGACAATGACACAAATGGGGGAGTGTTAGTCATCCACATGCAGGTCAGAGAGCCGGGAGCAGAACTGAGCCCTTAAGTCAAGTTGGGCTTCTCCCTTCATTTACCCCATCTGCCTCAGTAACGTGAGATCACTGATGTGTGGAGACCTAAACCCCCAGGGCACTGGCAGGATTAGTTCATATTTGAGAACTGCTGCACAAAAGCAGAGCACTGTTTATCAACGTAGGCTATAAAACTTGCTGACACTATGTAGATTCACAGCCAGCTTAACTATGAAGAGATGAAATTCTGTCTGGTCCTCAAAAAACAGAGGTGAAAGTGCAGCATCTCAGCACACAGAATCCACAATGAAGCCTGCTATTAGTTAGGATCAGCTTGAAGATGGAGGCAGAGAAAATAATTTTTGAAAACAAAGATTTACACCTTTCCAAAACCAACTCAATACCTTTCTTGTGCATCTATGAGTAGCCTGTGGTTTCATTTATAAGCCCATTTACCTCGGAAGGCAAATTAGTATATCAACCCCAGTGGCAAACATTATTTATGTGGGTGAAGAGCTTACAAGCGTACAGAAATATCTGAATAGTTCTGGAACAAACATACAACTAACCCAAAGGCATTTCTCTTCATGCTTTCCACCTGTTGCAGCTTAGTGATAAATGTATGTACCAGGGCTGTTCTTGAGAAATCCAGAGAAGATGACTGCCCAAACATGGTTCCCCAACAGCAACTCGTGTTTTAGAAGGCAGGCCCCAGTTGCTGGAGCTCACAGTGGGGTTGCACAGGCTGTATCACTGCCTGGGGTCTCATGCTGCAGGGCTCCCTCTGAGAGCTCAGCTGCGAACAACATGGGCTGGGTTAAACTGAGAACTTCCAATGGCCTCTCCAAACCTGGCACCTCCAAAGCAGTTTTTGATAAGCTGGTGATTTTTCTTCCTAATGATGTGCATTGATTACACAGATTTGGATTTTTCATTCCGTGAAGCAGGAGAAAAAACCCCATTGTTCTGACAAGCAAGCTTGGGCTCATTAGATGTTTCAAACAGCTCCAGTGTAACGCGATGAACAATTTTAGATCTGTTCTTAAGCTGCTGGAGAATAACAAATTCTCCCATCCTAACGTTCCCCTACCAATACTGGAAACCTGACTTCATATCCCATCAGAGGTCAAGAACAAAAATAAGTTGGATGGCGCACCAACTGTAGATCCCAACACTTCCACCTCACCACATAAAAGAAAAAAAAATCAACATGAATGATGAGAAAAAAGCTACCTGTAAAAATGTGCTTAAGTTGAGGATCAGTGATGCTACATAGGTAGGAAACAAGGATAGCAGGGAAAGCAGTAGGGTAAGACTCAAGTGTGCTAACAGAGTCAGTGGATGTCTGCACAAGCCCTGCTGTAACGTACCCTGAGGTCCCATCCTCGTCTGCATGTGTATAGGGACCAGAAAGACCCTGACCCAAGAGACACAAACTTACCTCATAGTGTACAGTAGGGTGCCATTGTCCACCAGGCGCAGCAGCTTGTTGGGTGTTGTCATATTATGGGCAACAGATTTCTTCCCGTTGTGGAAGAAGGTATCAGGAGTCCAGATCTTACTGGCCAGCAGGTTATTCAGGGGAAGTATTTTCATGGGACCATCAAACTTCAGCCTTTCATCTCTCCAGGACTGCCGGAAAAAGACATCAATAGTGTATTCCTTTGTGGACAAAGAAGAGAAAAATAAGTGTTTTACTCAGCTCTTCATTACAAACAAGCCGCTTCAAGAAATGGTAAATATCTTCGGTCATTGAGCATACTGTGTTTTGGCACACCTTGGTTGGCATGAAGTGTGATGCGGCGAGAAGTAGGGATTAACGGCAGTGGAGAAATCTGTGGAGGACAGAGGGCATTTACCACATTTTGTATAATCACTTACATATGACACCAAAATTTGCATTTCAGTGTTTCTGACCACTGCAGACAAGATGCAATACAGCCTGCAGTGGTCAGTGGCCAGCCCTGCGGTAGGCCTGCCACCACACCACCCTTACTATGTTTCAGGGAAGGGAACCATTGTGTGCAGCTACATGGGAATTTAAAAAGGCAAAAATAAAGCTCCTGGAGACAGAATTTGGCCAGGATACTGGTAAATATACCCCTGCTCATAAAAAAAGAAAGTTTCATGACATTGTCTTAATGTTATTTTGTTCCCCAGGCCACCTCTAGAAAAGCATTGAATCAAGGACCCCACAAACTTGCATTATAAGATCCTGTGACTTTCTTGTCTTTTTCTTCTTTTTCCTTTTTCCTGTTTTTCCTTTTTTTTCTTTTCTTTTTTTTTTTCTTCTTTCAGCTAGTGTAGAAACCCATTTCCTAGGCCAAATTCCAGTTGGGGCAATTAGAAGTCATCTCTCCGAAACCCTGCAGCCAGGGCCAGCTCCTCACTCGGTACGTGCAGCCTCAGAAACTTCACCAAGCAGCAAAGGCGCTATGGCTCCGTGGCCACCCCGAGGCAAAATTAAATCCATCTGCCCAGTGCCTGGCATAAGGGACTGCTGTTTCCTGTGACCTGAGCCACCCCGTGTCCTCTGAGGGTCCATGTCACTTGAGGGAAGGTCTTCAGCCTGTCAGCATGAGCTGCACCACTGCTCACCTCTACAACACACACCTCCTCTTGCTAATGAAGGACCTCATTAGCTCACAAAACTTTCTGAGAGAGGTGGGGGCTTTGGAAAATCTGTCTGTCCCAGCTGTTCTTCCCCTGCCATTGCAGATTCATAGTCTTTATTTACAGGTTCCTGGAGGCTGCAGGACCAACTAAACTTATCATTGTGAGTGATTTCTTTCCTGCAGCTCTTCTCAGCAGCATTTAAAAGCTGCTGCGTATCAGTTTCCTATAGGTCATAGAAATTCCTACAGGTTTTGCAGCAGATGGCAGCTGAATGAAAGCATCTCAGTAAAGAAATTCATCCCTGCTCCCTGGCCACAGAGCCACTCCTGCTCAAATGTGAAATTTCTGGAGCCTGGCTGGGGGAAGGAAAGAGAAGACCCTACATTCCCACAGGCTCTGCCCTGTACAAGATATTCTGCCCCTTCATGGAAGTGATCTTCACTTTGTGGTTTTAAGCTCAGTAAAGGGATAAAACCAAAGGAATGGGCCTGTGTGCAGTCCCAGGAGGTAGGTTTGGGAAAAGTCCTTATCAGGAGAAGAGCTATCTTATTCAGAACTCCCTGTTCGTATTAAAAACAACCAAACAAAGCAGCAAAACTTTTATAACAACTTTCCAGGCCCTGTTTTTCTTCTCTATGCTAAGGAATCATTCCCGAAGAAAGAGAATTCATGTTCAGATTCTTCCCCTCTTTTCTATATTTCTTTCCATGAAAGCATCATTCCCAAGTCACCCCTTCCAAGGAGCACACAGTTCTATGTTACGCTCTTCACCGCCTTATAGAAGTGATTGAAAACATCAAGACTGAGACTGTCTCCATCCACCAAAGCATAAAACTCCCTTGAACTTTTTTTTCTTTTTTTAGTTTCCTGGGGACTGAGGCAAAGCTGCAAGACCTCACCGCCAAAGATTCAGGCATATGTCAGGCCCTATCAGGCTCTACTTTCCAAACTAAACTGAAAAAGAGATTAGAAGTCCCTTGGAGCATCTTAGGGAAAAGGTCTACACATCCTCCTCCACGCTTCGTAACCAGCTGCTCTCCTCCACTCTCCACAGCAGCTTTACCTGCCTCTCCTCCATCATCATAATTACAGTCTCTGTCTGCATCAAGATGCACAGAAGCAGCTTTCCATCGCAATGAGTAATGGCTGTGGGAGGGATGAGAGCAAGACCACCAGGCAGATGTGAGCGGGGAAGGAAGGACTTCCCCACTCCTGAGATGAAAGGAACCACTGCAGAAGAGAAGGCTCTCCCTGTGCTTCCTGAGGAGATGGGGTTTCTCTCTCACACATTTCCGAGTGCATTTAGTACCAGAACGGCATGCTAAAACACATTCGCTATGCATTTGTAAAATACATTGAACTAAAGCATGTGAAGGGGAAATAATTTATTATTCTTTAACTGTCTTCCTAATTTTAAATTCATTTTGTCAAATCACATTGCAGAGAATACCTTCCTCTTTCCAATACCTCATATTTCTTCTTCACAGTTCATTATACACGCTCCCTTAATCAAATATGCTCCACCTTGGAAGTAATTATCAGATACTCCCCAAGGGCTAAGAATGCTGAATATATTATGGGACTCCACTGCGGCAGGAAAGCAAGCGAGATAGAGAGAGAACTCAGATGAGATTAATACTCTTGGCTACACTGACATCAAGTTAACTTCTAACCCTGGAGGGAGTGGTCTTTCCAAAGCAACATGGGGTTGCATGATGGGGCTAGCACCTCAATGAAACAGAGAGATTTTATTCTCCCCCAACTCCTCCACTTGCCAGCACAGGACTGTTGGTGGGGCAGCTGAAGAGATGTTCATGGCCATGTGAGCACAGAAAATGAAACCCTCCCAGCTCTGGAGGGGCCGTGAGAGACACAGGACATTGCTCCTGCCTGACCCAGCTGGTGAGAGCAACGCCTGCTCCCTCTCCCCGAAGTGGACTCCCTCCAAGGCCAGGACTGCCCACCGCTGGCCTGGGCTATGCCAGCACCAGGTCACCTCTGTGACTGGATGTGCAGGAGGGTCTCAGTCCTGAATGCACGCCTGTCCTCATGTGGCACCCTTGAAATGTTGAGCAACCATCAACAGCCAACTCTTCTCTGTGTGCCTAGGCGCGTGTGCAATATGAGCTGCAAGAAACGCTGTTGAGAAAGCTCACTATTAATTATGCTCCACAGTACTGTTTTAATTAGAAGACAAACTGTTGTGGGAATACAAGCCTAAATTCAGACCTCAGGCCTTTTCATTAATAATTTTCCCTGAACATGTCAAAATATTGCAATCAGCTCACTCTTTTTCTCTTTTCTCTTTTGCCTCCCTTCTGGTTCAAGCACTAAAGACAGTTTGATGGTGAACTATCCTCTTCTGGCACTGCCACCAAAACGGGCCAGATTCTGGCATCCTCCCATCTTCCCAAGGAGCGCCCTCCTTCCTCCACACACAGCCAGGTCAAGGAAAGCCGGCTGCAGTGAAGGTGTGCAATAGGTGTAGCATGCTACGTACAGGCCTTGGTCCCATGGGCAGACCTCCCCATTTCATTAGGTTGCAGTTGAAGGAAAGAAAAAGACCCTAAAGCCTGCAGTGTGCTTGAGCGGTGCAAAGGCGTCAATCCTTCAAGGTTGCCTTTACCATTATCAATCGGTTTCTAAAAGCCCAAACACACCTGAGAAACAATCCCTGTCTACCACCCGCACTGAGCTCTCCCTGGCCTTCGAGAAGTTGATGAGGCACATTTGTGCCCAGGCAGGCAGCTGGGATGCTTGCTCACGTTCTCATCCTTTAGGAAAATCCTGCTTTTGCCCAGATTGTCCAGGGATGAGGGTGGCACATGTCCACTGTGGCTGCAGAAGAAGCCATCCCTCTCCGTAAGACGACCAGGCAGTGGCACCTACCATATCTGTGTCCGAGACGGGGCCGAAACTCGTCACGTAAATGTCTGTCTTGACTTCAGTTACGCTGTCTGGGACACAAAAAAAGGGAAAAAAGCAATTAGAGAACTGAATTTGCTTGTACAGGGAAGGGTTTGGGTTTTGTTACATGGTGTTTTTTCCTGCCAGGCGCCTCCCTGGTGAGCCCTCAGCAAGCTGGCATCATGCTCTCTGCTGTGCCCTGAACAATGGCTGATTTTATCACTCGTAACTGGGCAAATTCATCTCTGATGTAGCTCTGCTGCTTTCCATGCTTACACCGAGGATGAATATGTCCCATACAGCCAGACAATGCGTATTTATAAAATGTAGGTGGCTACACGATACATAATGTGGTACAGACCCACATGTTTTCAATACAGAGGTAAGCCCTGATGCTTTGAAACTCCTTTTAATCTGAAATCCCTTTGTGTCTCCCAGCCTGACAAACAGCCCAGCAACGTTCCACCAGTTTTAGGAAACCCTGGGTTTGTTACAGCTTCAGGCTTATCTGTATGTAAAAAGAATCAATATTCCGATTACCTTTTACTGCCATCATGTTTGCTGTTCTCCTAAGTGCCTTGCTCCTGGTGAGTGGCTGCTCTTGCAAAGCTGCTGCTTGCCTGCATCACACGCTCCCCTGCATCCCAGGCTGCGCCACCCTCGTGGATGCTGAACAGCAGCCTCACTGCCCCAGCAAAACAACAGAGCCCCAGTTCCTGTCCTGCACTAAAACCCAGGGGCAATCTTAATCGCTTGCCTTCAGATAAACTGAAGTGCTTTGCAGAACACAGCCACCAGCAGGTTTTATTCATGCCGAACAGTACATACAGCTCTCCTTCTTGACTTCATTATGATTTTGGCATGTTTCCTAAATGAAATCTCTGCTGCTGTCCTATTTTGCAGGGAAATCAAGGCACAGTGATTTGCCAGATTCATGGTCCTATGCTCTGCCCACAGGGTGGTACTGAAAAAATGATGGATGAGGTGCCTTGAGCTTAACACTATGTTGCCATAAATCCTCACCACTTTAGGGATAGATCATGCCATTGTGCTCCTTTTGTATGGCATTAGCTGGCTCAAAGCCGCTTTCCCAATGAAAGAAGCAATTTAGATCCCCAAAGCAGTTAATGGTTTATGCTTAGTACCCCATTTTGGCCACCACAGCAGCTTTGCAAGTAGCCTGGATGGCCCATTGCTCAATTCAGTTATGGAAATCCTTCTGTGCCCTGACAGTTATTTTGCAGTACTATGAAGCTTAGTTTTGTGCTTCAAAGTTTTGTATCCAAAAATAAGATAATGCATTCTGGCAGGGTTTTCTCCTTAATGGCTAAAATATACGTATACATGTCTTTAGTTATTACGGCTGGAAAGCTTCTGACGCAGCCTGTGGCTGATATTATTGTGCTATATAAGCAACCCTTGATCTCATCTTGATGCAATAAAAAGAAGGTTAAAGAGAAATATGTATGCGGTACACTTTCTGAAACACCCAGAAGCCAAAAAAACAGCATCCTGAACAAAATGAGTTACTTCTGTAAGACTTAAACACTCGGGGTATTTTCTCTGTCTCCATCTAAACAAGTCCCCAAATGAGATCCAGAGCAGAGAAGAACATTTAGTGAAGCGAGGCTCTTTCCGCTAACAAATGCGGCAAGAGAAAGCTAATTACGTTTTAGCGAAAACACAAACACTCTCTCCTCTCCTCCTCTCTTCTTGGCATTCAGTTTGCCCAAGATAAATAATTTACAGCCATAGTTACCAGATTGAGAGCCATGGCTGTCCATGGCCATGTGAGGTGCAGAATGAATCGCCCCCTGCACCTGAGGGGACAGAGGGACAGTGGTCCATGAAAGGACCCAGGCTTTACAATGTGATCCTCGGGGTCAAAGCATGAGGGAATAGATTCAGAAAGTGATGAGGAGGTAGAAAGGCAGAGCTAGTTTTGAACACCTTTTGATACAATCCTGCTATCTTTACATGAGCCTTTGTGTCCTTATCATGCTGTAACCTGGCTGTGACAGAGCTCCAGAGACCCCTTCCCGCCCCTTCAATCTACTGGAAAATCCAATCAAACATAATGGCATAAATAAATGCCATTAATTTATTAATATTAATAATTAATTACAGCCTGGGTCTGAAGAGGATCCTCCATTCCAGACTGCAGACGAACCCCCTGGGCCAGGCCATGCGAACCTGCTGAAGTTGGCGGGAGGACTTTGTGACAG